CAACGGCATGACAGTTCTCTTCCTCTATGTTATCGCATTCAGACAACTGTGGACATACATTCAATAGGAAAATTGTTGATATACAGGGTAGAGAAAATAAAAAGAACACTAGAGAATTTTAAGAAACCTGACGCTCTGGTTGATCGACAATCAGCGAACACATCAACATTGATCCAATTTATCAACTAATCAGAATAATCATAGACAAGCGCAGGATCAAGCACCAAATCAAAGAGAGATACAATGAAAATAAACAAGCAGACAATCAAAGGTTAACGGTCAACACAAACAACCAATCAAGTTCGAGGTGAATAGGGGAAGCTACGAGTCATACATGGAAAAATTCGAATACATCATTTCTGCCTGAAGTTTGTTAAAAATAACAATCTTAGCTCCACAATTAAAGTTTTCTATTCCTCAAGACCCCTGAATCACGTCGTAAATCCGTAGCCGACACTTCTCGCTTTGACTGTAATTTCAAAGTGACACTCTAACGCACTTCCGCTACATACTACTTGCTAGCCCCATTGTAAGTAGCATACATCACACTGGTTTTCACTGCTAGCCACCATCTATCTCTGTTTATAATACTTAAAAAGAAAAATTATTTTCAAAATCATGATTCACAATTGTGTTGTTACGCTCACACTAAATAACTACAACGGATTGAAAAATGTGATTTGGTCGATGAGATACAAAATCAGAATTTTTGCAAGTAATAATTGATCAATAAACGTTGTATGACAAAAGGTTGACTAAAATAAATTTAGATAAATTCTAGGGAACTTATAGTTATCAAATGAATTTAAAACCCATAGAAGTATATACAAGCAGGAAATCATTGACAGAATGTCATAATTGATAACTAAAATAGTGTGATATTATTTAGTGTCATAGGGTATAAACTGGAATCTTGATTGATAAAATAACGTAATCAGAAATCTAAGTGTGAATTCTGTTCAAAAATGTTCAAGTATAACTTTTTACAATTTTATCTGAGGTAGTAGAATCGTGAAATTTTTCATAACAAGTGATTATCTATAGTTCAGGTATCTTGTCTGTTTTAAACTATCATATAATTTACTTAAATGAGAAGTTACTTTACACAGCGGGCACGAATGCACCTAGATATCTATGCATTTGTTTGTGATCAGTGAAACTAATTCAAAAGAACTCATTTATCAATGAATAACAAACCTTACAATATACTCGAAATACTGAAAATAGGCATCGAGTATGTATGTAGTGGAGTATCGTTCTCTGAGCTGAATGTTTCGGCTGTGGAGCTTTCATTGTTCTCCTGAACAACATCATCAGCTCAAACTTCAGATAGAGTATGTCTACTTATGACATATAGCCGGGAATATTTCCACGAAAATCTGAGAGCAGAATTTTGACGTAAGTTGTATTTTATTCAGTAATCTTATTATTTGAAACTCAGACTGAATTCTAACCAAGTTGCTTCAATGTAATGGTGGATATTTCATAAGTGTAATGTATCTGATAGTGATATGCTTGAGCTATTAAGAGTTCACATTACTCGGTAAACGGAACGAAGATCACTGATTCAGCGACATGGTAAGCTACCCTAATCCGATCGTGCAAGGCCCCACTAACTATAGGAAGAATTCTTGATAAGACGCAGAGAATGCATTCCACAGTCAACCAGAAAGTACGAGGCCGACAAGCACACAGCTTAAGCAGTGTATAAGGCTTTTGTATGAGCAGGAACTACAACAACTTATCCTCAATTATTCAACCGATAAAGTTATGACTATATATTTATTTAATTTGTCGTATTAGTCCGTCTGTTTGATTATTGAATATCTGCAGGTACGTTTTTATGAACATGAACGTTTTCTATTATGTATAAGTAGCCTATTCAGTTGATGTTAATATTTAGGGTCCTGAATTAATGAATGAATTGACCAAACATATCATAAAGATTCATTAACACAAAACGCTGATCTTTACGGAGTAGTATTTGAATATACGGGGAATTCAAGGCATTGCTATCAAAGTGGTTTCCAATAGTTCAAACTTTCTAAATTCGAATACCAAATAAGACTTACTTATTTGATAATCACCAGATATAGGCTCACATTAAACTATGCACCGGAAAAAAAGCAATGAGTAACTCTCTGGAAATATTCAGTAGTATATAATAAACGAACTAATTTCATTAAAAAGGAAAGTGTCTAACAAGTTGATGACAATGATAGCCGGAACAAATGAGTTTTATTCCAACAGATTTCAGTGAATGTGTGTAATGTTTGGGTATATTAAAATAACCAGCAATCTACGAAATGGGGCTTTAGATAGTTGTACTGTAGCTCGCTTGGTTTATCTTATGTCTATGTAATCACATACTCTGTGGAATAAGCATCAAGGTATTCTGAGACTCAGTGGGTCGATATTAGATTTTCTTTCTAGGTAGATTGCTGTAAAACATACTGCTTCAAGTTGACCCGTTCTACTTTTGTGAAGTTAACTAATAACCGACACTATGGAAGGCTAATATTTTTAATTACTCCCATCACTTCATTTACTGAAATGTTTATTCAGTAGTAACTAAATAATCAGTTCAAAAATTTATCCGAAATTAAACAGCATATTTGCAAATATCCATATCAGTTTCAGCTAAGTTAACTACTCTGGTTGATAATTAGCAGTTCGTTGAATCAAATAAGTCTTTGTATTATTCTGTTTAGAAAAAAGATTAAGTATTTTGGACAAATTAAAGAATAAATAGATGGGACTAATTCAGGTAGATTATCATGTTTCTTTCATCAAAATGATATGCAATTGTTGAAGTTATTAAAGATGGTTAGTAATCCGAAGGTGTTAGATTATGACTAATAAAGGTTATCTGGCAGCTATCGCATGAAAATAAGTTCACACTACTCAATTCTTCACTAAAAGCATTAATCGATCATTGTTAGACTACCATTAGATGGACGTTTGGTCCTAGTATAGGACTCTTTACTAGTGTGCATCCACAACCTAGCTCAAGAGAATTGTACCCAGGAGCTTCGGTTTCTCATGTGAACGCCTAGTCTCTTGACTAGTGATTTGGCATCCAAAGACAATAAGTGAGGTTCCACAAAACCTTTGATTGATCAAAGTTAGACAATAACACCACCGGCTGCCAACTCAGTGGTCTAGAGCTTAAGCGTTCGCGCGCGAAACCAAAAGCCTTCCGTTCGATTCCCTCGAGCGGCGTTATGGATGCGCAATGCTAAAGAGTCCCTCACTAAGACGAAACGGCCGCCTAGTGCTTCCAATTATCTAATGATATTTAAAACAATGATTGGAGATATTACATATTTTGGACTTTGTTTAAAATCACAACAGCATTCGGCTTTACATAGTAAAGGATAGTTATGTTTGGTTTCAATGAAATACAGACCCCATATTAGCTCCGTTTATATTGATGAATAAATTAATCAAAGTTGTAAATGAACTGTGTTAAAGATAACTATTACTTCAAGCATTTATATCATCAGACAAACCATCAGAGAACAATCATAACATGACATTCATATTGATCGTCTGTAGATTAAACTTAAAAAAAAACGATAAAATATGTGAATTGAATAAAAAAATCAATTATGATAATAATAAACAGTGCATGCATGAGTTTATATTGAATGAATGGCTAACAAATGGACACATAACTGATAAGATGCGAAAAAATTCAGTAAACTACAATGTATACAAATGAATATTTGCACTCTCAAAATTAAAAATGTAGTGTTGCTAGTATAATTCACAGTAACACAATTAATGAGTTGATTTTTTCCTGTTCATACATGAATGGATAGAAAATTAGGGTTTGATAAGTAGGGATTTATCACAAACTATAACTCAGTAAACAATATCACTCAGTCAGTTGTCATTAAAATCAAGACTTTATATTTAACTAATACCTAATACTGTGCGTAGAGCCCTGCCTGGGTTACTGCTGGTCCAAAGCCTGGATAAAGGCAGAGGGTTGGACGTCAAGTTAATGACCCCATCTCATAGAAAATCAACTTACTTGACTTTTAGCTAAATTATTCAGTATTTTCGGAAGATATTTGATTCATGGAAAGTATAAAAACTTAATTTTAATTTTAACTGAAATGTATACAAATTAACTTCATGAAACGGAACGTAATACGTATGTAAATTCACAATGAATTCATGATATCATGAAATCATCTTCGATTACCTAATGTAAATAACTGTCACACATCCGAGACAGATGAATTACACAGTTCACAGTTTCATACTCGAATACTTATAAATTATATTACTATTCACAATTATATGAATTTACCCTCTATTGTCAAAGGCAATTTTACACATTGGTTTTCAGGAGAACCAAGGAGACTGCTCACATGTTAGCATTTCAACATGAACAGTTCGGCTCAATCCCATGGTACAACCACACAGGTACTTGATACCCTGGTGGACCATTCACACCCCTTATATACAATAGTATATATATAGTGATTATTTGCGATCTGTCATCACATCAATCAATATTCGCCACATGAGCAAGCCATTTCGATCCATCCCGCTTACATGACTGTCAAACTCATTATTATTATTAGTAACCATGGTGACATGGAATACAGCAACCCAATGACAATGGCCATCGGGAATGTTGCTAAACAACCACTAGTATCAATGAAATCGGTCGCTCTGCTACCCAATTTTGTAAATGGACTGGTAGCTATTCTTGCCAAAACGATGCCAAGCCATCCACAATGTTCACAGCGAACCAACGGTCTCATAGGGAACCCTCAACTCTGCATAGCAATATAGCTTATGGTATATACATTGTAAGGCATAGGATCACAAGAGATGCAGCCCAGCTTGATGTAAATGGACTCAAACACTCTTAGCTCCGGCTGTCTTCATAGATACACACTACTGAGAAGTCCCCATAGTAAGAAGGAAAACCTATCCACTAACAATACAAATGGCTTAAATAAAAATAGAAATAAAGACAATCTAACGAAGAGGAAGTTTCTCTTCAACGATGTTATTTACTAAAGCTGTACAATAATATTTACAATTAATTGATATACACAAGTCTGTAATAAGATAGATCAATAATAAATAATATTTTTCTTAAAAAAGTAGTGACCAGAAAGAGTTTTCAAGTATCAAATAAACTTAATAAGAGAAAAAACAATTGTCAACAGTGTAGTAAGAAACTACGACTAGAAAAAGTGATATTATGTTAGAAAATGCTTTGGAAATATCAAAATATAAAAAAATAGATTATACGAAGATCTAACTAGCATTTCATGTGAGATTATTTTCAAAAAAAAGAATAACATAAACAATAGATTATTGAACATTGAATGAATTCACGACCACCATGGATATGACGAGATATTGATTATGGTGTTTATTGTACACAGAGAGAAGAGAATGAATTCAATACATTGCTAGAAGGGAAAAAATGATGAAGTCAGAGGAATATATATATATATATACATATATATATATATACATATATATATATATATATATTCATTTGATTCGATATGATAGATTTATACATAAATGTCAAGACTTCTATCAGTATTAAATTATAGGTCTGTTTCAGAAGAGAAATGTTCTTATAAACTACTTTTAAATTGAAATATAGTGAAGATTGGAATATATCCTATCTGGGACTTATAAGCTGGATTTATCTGTATCTCTAGATTGATTGATTATCACTCTTTGACTTGAACCCAGTACGGTTTCGCTTCGAACGCCATTGCATTATCCTCTGAGTCCAGATAGCCACTCATTTGTGCAATGGGGTGAAGATTAATTCATTTGTATTATGGGGTTGTGAAGATTGTTAAGTTACACATTTGAAATCATGAATCGATCAATGTTAGGGAGCTATTAGGAACCTGGAAGCACTGGACGGCCGTCAAGTCCTGGTATGGAACTCATCAGGAGTGCGCATTCATGACTCCTGCACATCGCAAAATTTGAACCCACGGCCTTCGGTCTTGCAAGCGAACGCCTAACTTCTGGACCACTGAAACAGTATCTAACGATGTTAATGTCTAACTTCGATCAATTCACGGTATTGTGTAACCTCATACATGGTTTTCAGTAGTTACTGTCTACATCCGAACAGGCTGAACTTCACTGGTCCAGACTTCTCACTAGAACTCGGCAAAGATTTCTCTCGGAGCTAGTCACTAATGGACTCAGGTAATTGCATGACAGGTTTGTATTGATTTTTTGAATCTTGCAATTGAAGCAGCTCATAAGTCTCATATGGCGGTGTATGTGCAACCAAAGCGAATTGCCTCGATATTGTCTTTAGATGACAAGCATTATTAGCAAATATGGATAATGAGTGGCTAGCAAGTGGAATTCAGGACTTCAGAACTTCAATTCAATGTACAAGCAAGCCTTTGTCTGATAGCATTCAACCAAAGCTTATATCTTATCACTAATCAGCATTGTTCTGTGATAAAATGTTAAAAACTACAACAACAGCAGGTATATAAACGATTATTTGACCTATATTGGTTTACTAGTAGATATCAGTCAATGGCATAAACTAACGAAGTTATCCAATCAGAAAAAAAGAAAATTTTATTTCATGTTACTATCAGAACTTACTCACTTACAATGAAATTCACATAATCTAGCTTTATCCATTAGGTTAATCTTCACCTCCGCCAAAAAATTTCAAAAAGAAAATAGGAAATGTTAACTGTAAAATTTAGGATTTTAATATTCAGCACAATAATTATACAACATTTAAACTACTCTTTTGTAAATCCACTAAACTAACACTTCCTGATAGAAGTTGTCTGCCAACTTGTTGACTAGGTGACACCATTGTAGGAGGTACTGGCTGTATTGGTGTTAATGGTATGGTAGCACTCAATTGTCGCCATGGTTGCGGTGGATAATAACAACTCAATGTGGGCAAATAGCCAAATAAAGCAATTTGTGAACATTGAAGTATGGAACCAATGGATACTAAACCATATTTTCTTACATTTGTAATACATTGACCCGGTTTAAGTAGGATATATGAACCGACGAAGTAAGATTGCCTAGATAACAACAACAACAACAACAATAATTTGCATTATGGGGTTGTGAAGATTGTTAAGTTACACATTGTGGAAACCATGAATCGATCAATGTTGGACCACCGTTAGAAACCTGGAAGCACTGGACGGTCGTTTCGTCCTGGTATGGGACTCCTCAGCAGTGCGCATCCACGACTCCTGCACCCCGCAGGATCCGAACCCAGGACCTTCGGTATTGTGAGCGAACGCCCCAACCGTCAGACCACTGAGCCGTTATCCAACGGTGTTCATGTCTAATGCTAATTACCTGTGCTCACTAGTGACTAGCTTCGTGAGGAATCTTCTCCGAGTTCTAGTGGGAAGACGTGACCAGTGAAGTTCAACCTGTTCGGGTGTAGGCAGTGTCTACCGAAGACTGTGTATGAGGTTGCGCAACTCCGTGAATTTGATCAAGTTAGACATCAACACGGTCGCACACCAGTTCAGTGGTCTAACGGTTAGGGCGTTCGCTCACAGTACCGAAGGTCCTTGGTTCGAATTCGGCCGGGTGCAGGATTCACGGATGCGCACTGCCGAATAGTCCCTTACCAGGACGGAACGACCGTCCAGTGCTTCCGGGTTTCTAACGGTGGTCTAACATTGATCGATTCATGGTTTCAAAAATGTGTAACAACAATAATAACGAGAAAGTGGTGTGACAATGTACATTCAATTATACAGCCTTAAATTTTCAAATCTCACACTTTTTAAAAACAAATATATATATGTATATATATATATATATATATATATATATATATATTTAGATCAATAATTACTGATTAACTCAGTTGGATAAATATTCTTCTTACTTTGTCAGTTTCGATAAGTTGGAACTGAAACTTACCTCACCTTTCTGATTCTCATGCCGCTTTTCATTAAAAGACATTAGCAAATTTTTATTTCCACTCAACTGATGAATAAACTTTCCAAACTTTAGTCAATTTGTGGTGCGCGCTACTTCTAAGTAGTATATGACGCGAGTGTAAACGTAATGTCTGGCAGCAGAAGATGGAGGAAGATCAAGAAAGGAAGAAGAGCGGGAACACAATGGAATTTGTATGAAACGCATGAACAGTGAAATGTCAGACAATGGATTGAAGATTTGCAAATTAACCGTTTACGATATGGTTTTCCTATTTTACTGAGTAACTCTGTAATTTTCGTTAAATACAATTCGGTTGCCCCACCTGTGTTCTCCTTCACTACGAATTTATTTGTGAAGATAAGTACATTGATAAATTAATTATCAATTACAATTCATTGTTACTGATGATTGTCAATTGAGAGGTGTTGCATCGCAAGCATAACATCATTGCTACTAATAATAATAATGAGTTTGACAGTCATGTAAGCGAGATGCGTTAAATTGGCCTGTTCATTCTGTGCCTATTGATTGATGCACTGTATATGTACTGGTGGATGTAAATAGTGTAAATGGTCCATCAAAGTGTCAGGTACCTTTGTGGTTGCGCCACCGGATAGAGCTACAATGTTCAATCTACAGTGTTAACATGTGGGCAGTGTCTGGTTCTTCTGAAAACCAACTGAGGGCGAATTCGTGTAATTATGGAACAAATGGTGTGTGTGCGTGTGAATTATCACTCACATCTGTTTAGTATTGATTTGTATGTTAACCTTGTTTCATTGATGTCAACACCATAAATCACAGGATTTCATAAGTGTCATTTGGTTGTGATTCTTGATGTGATTTAATCATTCAGGTTTAGAGTACATGATTAATCCCGGTGATGCAAACCACCCCCCAATGAATGAAACGATGGAAATAATCTATAATTATTTATTTATCTAATTCGCTCTATTTACGCTGTCTTCAACTCAGTGAAAAGCATCAACTTGGTCAAAAAGTAATGAAAACCATTTCCGTTACCGCCCAAGTAAAATGTTTTCTTCAAAGTTTCAGGACTTGCAAAACTACTAGACTATGAGTTCTTCTCTAAAATCTCTTAATGCGAATCTTTGATGGCTCTCAATCAGTCAGTCAACGTTGTAATCAAAGCGTAGATTACACTGTACCCTAACAATTTCCAAACGATTCTTGAAGCTTCTATGCATTTAAACCACGATATGACTGATACACCGTTAAAACTATTTGATTCGACCGCCTAAAGATATCAAGAAGAACGATTTGGTTGAGTTTCTATATATTAGACTTGTCGTTAATAGAAAAGTGGAGGATGTCACATTTTTTCACTTACAATTTTGGTGGAATAATAGTTATTAGCTCATTTAAACTGTGTACGTAAAGTCATATCAATCAAGCAACTAAGTATGATTAGATTTTTACCGATAACCTGGTCTAGAAATATTTTCTATTTCGTAATAAAATGGTTCCAACCCATTCTGACAATTACATCAGTCTTCAGAACACCTAACAAGCTTTGTTTTACACAAAACTTAAATATAACGTTACATATACGAATTATTTATGCCATGGTTTTCATTTTCTGCAACACTGAATTGTTTAATTAATGACAGATAGTTAGTTATTCCAAATCATTGTGAATAATAAATCTAATTACTATTATTAGTGTTTTTTCGCAAGCAATATACAACCTGTGGTATTAAATGATTCAGTAAGGGATAACAAAAACTCTAAACAGGAATATGAAATGACATTTTAACACAATTTACAATAATATGGTTTAATATGGTCGTATACCGTAGAAACTTACTGATAAGCAAGCCAATACCTTGGTGTTCTATACCATACATTAGCTGGAGCACAAATAGACATTGTAGTAATCATTAAATAAGGTGCTAACACTTCATTACTATTACATATATCAGACCAATAACCTTTTTGATTGGCTTCACTATAGATTCGTAAACATTGCAAATGCATAAATACACCTTGGAGTAATTTTGATTTTTGTGGTACTTCAATGGAATCATTCAATTCTTTCGATACATTTGACGATGCTGTAGTTGTTGTATAAAATAGAACAGTAGTCAGAAATAATGATAATAATTGATTATTGAACATGAATTCGAAATTCAATCGACGAATGTATTGTCTTTTTTTCTCTGCAAACTAATTATTTATATCATTTTCAATCGAATGATGGATAATAAAAACTAAACTATGAAATTCAATCAATAGTTTGATAATATCTACACATATGATGATAAATATGAAAGTTTATTGTCAATAAAAATAATATCAATGAATTAGCATGTTATATACACTTCAATGTTTGAAAATGAAAACAATGTAATACATTGTGGTAGTAAATGCAAGTTGTATAATCCAAAACTCGATTTGAACTAGTAATGCTGCCTAACTAATCGTTAATCAATATAAATCACAGTTGAAAAAGTAAATTTCAGTAGAAATTACTTTGATTTTACATTGAGTATTATGATCAGTTTATATCTGTTAGTTTTTGAGGTCATTTTGTATTGATTACTGAAATACAAGTATCATATATATATATCTGCTACATCAACATCTCTTCTCTAATTCAAACCGACTGATTTGGCCAGCGTATTCATCTAAATGGAAAGGGAAGCTGAGGACAGAGTTGGTTGAAGAAAACTGGTCGGCGGCCTATGTTCAACTGAGGGAGACAGCCGTAAGTAAGTGATAAGTCTCAATGTTACGTGGCTGTTAACGAAAATGTATAACAAAAGTAACTAAATAAAGTACAATTATATCCATTATTCATGTTTATTTGAAATTAAAAATGATATTTACAAGTTCACTGACAGATGGATTCAATAAATACAGATATCTAAACATAATTTGAAGAAAACTGTTTAAATGGATAGCTAGAAATAGTAAGTTTCAAAATGATTTGCACGACAGCTTAGTCTCACAAACCCAGTCAAGACATTTAAACAGCTAGTTACTTCTCCTTATTTATAGGTAGTGAAATGATTATTCTTTCATAAACAACATCAAAAATTTAGGTTGATTTCAATCCATTTCGAACATTCACTTCAAATTCAAAACCACTTCCATATATTCAGTTCGTGAAACTTACAATGAGTTATAGTTTATCACTACTGAAGTGCTATTTCTAATGGTACAGATATCATAGATAACAAGAATTATTTCAGGTAATGTTTCACATATCAGTGAAATCCAATCATAACTGAAATACAGTCAATAGATTTCCAATCATTTAACAGGTGAATTCCCGAACTCGAAATCATAATCATACACAGTATATTCAGCATCACATATTTTGCGTGTCCACAATCATATGATTCCTCCATCTTAGCACTTCATTTGTCAATATTCAAATATTCATAAACGGTGTTCAGCTTATATTCATATTTATCCAGAAATTTTCACTATCATTCTTACCTTCATGACATCACTCTCTATTCTTTACTACATATGATGAATGAACACTACTCGTTTCACGTTCATTGGACCTATTCAGCCAGTGCATAGGATAAATTCCACATTGTCACGTTTCATGAAAGTATCGCAGTCATGTTCCCATTCATTTAGTCACTTAATTGTACATATTTTGGAATAGTATTTATCATAGAATTCATTGAACGTGTGACTTTTCGTGTTGTAATTAATGTGTCGTCATAACTGTGTGCATTATACATGACACGTCCGTAGCAGAATGAAGTGATGTTTCTGTGACAGGAAACTTTCCATTATTCATGACATTCTGTAAATGAATCCTCAGTGAGTTTTGTGGGCGATGGGAGCTATGAAGTGAAAATAATAATTCATACTTCGTTATCATTGATTCCCTGGTGTGATATCCGAATGTAAAACTACACCAAAGTTTATCGATATTCAACTTTCGATCACTACACGTCACAACAGTTTTGATATGTCTGGATCGAAATACGAACTTAGTTAGGTCAATATTCTTAGTAAAACGTGTGAACGTCATTTAGTAAGACAATTATATTCAAAACACAGATATATGAACAAAGAATATTCTTTTCACTGAGATCATGAATCGATCACTTTCAGAGCACCACCGAAAATGTGGATACAGTGGACTGGTGTTTTGTCCTAAAATGGGAGACTAATCATCGATAAAGGGGTTGAGCGTTCGCGCACTAGACCATATGACGTGGTTTCCACTTACGTTCAGTGCTTCCAGTTTTCCTGCGGTAGTCTAAATCTGACCAATTCATGATTTGAATAAGAATTAACTATCCTTCAATGACAATGTTCCTTTCAACACATGTTTTGGTTTCCACTAAATCAGCAATCCCAGTGTAGTGAACGAATCGTGTTTAACGAAAATTACAGAGTTACTCAGTAAAATAAGAAAACCATATCGTTAATTGTTAATTTGCAAAATATCAGTCCATCATATCGAACTGGACTGTTCCTGTTGTAAAACATCAATCCATTGTCACTATTCATGCGTTTCATACAAATTCCATTGTGTTCCCACTCTTCCTTTCGTGATCTTCCCCCATCTTCTGCTGCCAGACATTACGTTGACACTCATGTCATATACTACTTATAAGTAGCTCGCACCACACCAGAACTGACCAAGAATTCTTAGTGAACAAGTATATTCCTAATATAATTTCAAGTAGAGTGTTTCTAACGATGACTGTGTATTTCCTCTTATTTTTGATATTAAATGTATGTAAAAATTAGTCTGTAAATGATTTGTTTTGTTCTAATGACAACTTTTATAATAAAATCGTGTACGTGTAATCGTAAATAAGTGAAAAATGAACTGAAACTTAAACAAATAGAAATCTAAAGATCTTATAAACTTGGAGTAAATGTACGTTTTACAATAATCTGAAAAGTAATTTACTCATCAACTGATACACATCAAGAGATAATCCATTTTAGTTGTACGTTACATGACTCTTTCATCTATTCATCAGTACGAAAATCAGATGTGTCTAACTCAGTAAATTTATCCAACTAAGTAAAAGCAATCGATAGTAGTATGAACATTAGAAAATAACTCATTTCGAAAGTGCGTCAAAGAAATTCTAAAGTTTTAACATAATGAAAATCTTATTTCGATTCAGTAGTATAAAACTTCCCCTACTAATTCAATTTTAATTCACTCCTTTCAAACTAGGCGCTGTAAATGTGTTCAAGCGTAAAACATTATTTTTAAGACTTTGAGTTAGATAGTTGAAATAAGAGGTTGATACTATCTACTACATAACTGTAATAACTTTGTTATCTAAACTGATCTATTCATCCCCATTTTTTGTATCATTCCATTTTTTTAAATGTCTTTGGAGCAGTTATATCATAATATTATATGACAATAGTGTTGTGAGGAATGATTCGAATTGAAGGCAATAAATGTTAGAAGCTATTTTTCCCCAGGTCTTATTTGTATGTAATGATTATGTATTTATTTAGTGACTAAGATCATCAGTTATCTAAATATTTCATTGATTTCTAAGCCTTCTGTTAATCTTAAAAATTATTGTTATCATACAATTTATTGTTTCTATTTTGTTAACAGTTCACTCTACTCTCAGCCAAATTTTTGGGCCACTCAGGTATGTTTGTTAATGTTAGGATATTTAGCAAATATCCTAAGAGAATTATTTTGTACGTTCAATTCTATTGGTCAATTCCTACTGGTCAATAGTATTATGGTCGTCCTAGCTATCAATGTTACCTAGTTCAGTGTTGTTTCCGATTGGTCGTACTGACTATCAATGTCATTTCAAATGTTGTTTCCTATCGGTCATCCTAGCTGTCAATGTCACAGACTGCAATGTTAGTTCCTATTTGACCTATCTGTATAAATACGCATTATCTGTAACGTTTTATGACCCGGACCCGAATCCTCAGTCCGGGATCCGTGTCTTCTTCTGGACTCGGACCTTGTACTTTCTGGATGTTTGTAGAAAAAAGGCTCTACTTCATATCAAGTCTTCTTCTCTTACTCAATGTGGGTGGGGGGGGGGGTTGGGACACTCGGATTAGAGTAGCCTGTCGTGTCACCGTATCCTCTATCCTCGCTCTCGCTTACTGACTAAGGTAAACTCGTAACAGTTCAAGCATATCAAATGACATGTTTACGTGCATAGGTAACAGTTAATTTCCATTTATTGGTTAGATATGTGTATAGAAAATAAAATCAAAGAAATCTTGTTGAAATGATGCTAATTTATCTTTGTTCCACCTCTTCGTTTGAGGCAGTTTACCATTGGGCCGTCGTTCAAGCAAAGAGTAATACTCAAGCCTTCCATCCTTGATGTTTTTATTGAAACCAAAAAAAAAATTCATCTGCGCATTGGTTCACCCATGTGTAATAATTTCTTATAAGTTTGTGCTGCATCAGTTTGAATTGAACATAACAGATCACTTTTTGATTTGTGCCAGTTGATTTTGATTGTTATTAGAAATATAAAAACTAATTAATTATCAATAAATAATTATTGATTTTTTTTTCAGCAGCAAAATCAATAAGTGTATCAACGACATCTCAGTCATACACTCTATCTATAAATCAATTTAGTTGTTCATTTGAAATAAAACTGACTGAATTTATTTTTATTCTTTTTAGAACATTTTTCTAATAAGTTTATATTGGTAGAAATAATTATATTTTAGTTGGCATTTTGATAGAAGTAAAAAGTTAATCAATAACTTTTGGAATTAGGCATTGAAGTATCCTAATTCATGTCGACCAGAATGACCAGTGTGAAGAAGTATGATTCAACATAGAATCATTGAATTCAATGTTATAAGATTAAAAATTCATGAAGCATACCAAAAATGATCATCAAATTATTCATATTTATTAAAAAATAACTTTATCATAAACTTTCAGAAGAATTAGATATATATATTAAATTAAATTTCAGTAAGTATTAGCTACTGTGATCAGCCGTGTAATCGAGCCGAAAAAATAAAGTAGGAGTATTGGGAAAGAGGTTAGCGACCCAATGTTTTTGAAAATCACCTATCTTAAAAGACGCTAACCAAGATAAGTAATCCGAACCATTTGAGCTCTGTTTTGACAGTTGGAAGGTCTTCGTTTACAAGAGTTATGACGTCTTATGATGAAAGTCAAGTTCCTTTGGAAGTCACGAGGCTGATGC